GGTGGGGGGAGGACCAGGGAGGATGATTCAACCACTCAACCACTAGATGTCGCTGAAAACAACAAATCCTACACACTGTGCCTTTAAGAGTTTTGTGTAAAAAACATGAAATTTTGGAAACAATCTTTGTATCAGCTTTTCAGGTGGGTGCAGCTTTAAGTAAGCATCTTAGCCTACCTTCATTTTGTTGTTGATCAAGTCCATGTTTCATGGACAGTTTATGTTCTAACAGCTTTAGCAGAATCAGCCATGTTCTAAGGGACCAAGTGGTGYCAGCAAAGGTCAAAGGAAAGGTAGTAGTGAGACCAGCTTTGTTGTACGTTTTGGAGACAGTGGCAAAAAGACAGGAGACAGATCTGGAAGTGTCAGAGCTGAAGATGTTGAGGTTCTTCTTGGAAAAGACAAGGATGGAGAAGATTGAGTTCAACAGATATTATGGATGCAGTTTGAGAGGACATGTTGGCGTGAGGTGAGGTGAGGTGAGGACAGAGTGAGATGGAGGATGAGTCCTGAAGAGGAAACAGTCAAAAGAAGAAGAAGAAATTTCATCCAAAGGTCGTTGCTGTTTTGGAACAAGAGTGCTGCAAGAATACTGCTGCTGTCGTAATGGATAAATCATTTTACGAACAGTCTTCAGATATTTAGCATTGTTTAGGAGGTTGGAAACAGACAAGTAGCTAGCTTAGCTWTGAGCTAACTGCTGCTTGTTTATTAGTCCAGCTGTGAAACCACAAACTGATGTTATAAGATTGTTTTTACAAGGAATTAAAAACCTCAACACCCTGTGTTAATAAAAGGTAGGTGGCTGGGAGACTTATTTTAGGATCCTTCAAGCTCTTTAACTCTGCTATTACTATGTGACTGCAAGCTGAGATTTTAACTTTGTAATTATTTTTTAATTTAATTTAACAGGTAAGTTTGATGTACAAAAAAAAAGAATTAAAACCTGAAAACAAAATGCATTCCTCAGGTAATGTAAGTAATAACTGAATGAATGATGAAAATATTGTTTTACCATTAGGCTAATGAGTTAATACGTGAGTCTCAAGACTCAAGCCTAAAGTTCAAAGTGAGTTTCTTCTTRTTCTCCCACTCACCCACATCTAAGATGTCCAGGATGATGACGTCCGAAGTGGCCCGGCCCAGCTGGTTGGAGGCCTCCACCCAGATCTCGTAGGGCGTGAAGAGGTGGAGGTCCTGGGTGATGCTGCAGGAGTACGGCTGGGCGTGACTGTAATCCTCACACGCCTTCTCCGTTCCGTACCATCTGCGAGGAGACCAAAACGTGACTGAAACCACTCAGTGAAATCTGGATGCATTCAACGGGCTGGGATATTACGGAGCCCGCGAGGGGACATGTGAGATTTTTTTTCTTTTGCGTTCCCACGCAATAGTATTGCGTTACCTCGCAATACTTTTCCGTTACCTCGCAAAAGTAGTTGTGCCTGCCGGTTTATTAGCAAACTCACATGTTCACCTTTAGCGAGTTAGCCTGCTGCTTTAATTCAGCTTCAGAATGAATATATCACACAGCCACACATGGAAGTATGTCATATGCCGATATTTTAACACAGTGCAGCCACGCAACATCAATGTCAATTTCACGAACTTGTGGCGACACATCCTGTTTTGGTAACCGGATATTTCAAAATAAAAGTCTGATTTAATTCAGTTCATCTTCAAAACAAACTTTTGCGTGGGAACGCAAAACAATTTTGCGAGGTAACGCAAAAGTATTGCGAGGTAACGCAAAAGTATTGCGAGGTAACGCAAAACGATATTGCGAGGGAACGCAAAACGATATTGCGAGGTAACGCAAAAGTATTGCGAGGTAACGCAAAAGTATTGAGTGGGAATGCAAAAGAAAAAAAATCCCCCCTTGTCCCCTCGTGGGCTCTGTACTATCCTCTTCAGTGGGCTTTAGACAAGGACTATTTGCTTTGAAATTTTGTACATACTTAAATTAAGAAAAGTTCTCGTTACGACAAATACCCTCTGTATGCCTCTACATGGTGTTTTCAAATGTCTTGAAAGGGTTATCACAGTATTCTGTGGTACTGCGTGTATACCTGAGTTTGTACTTGAGCCTGTACTGAGTGCTGATGTTAGTCTCTCCTTTCCCTCCAGGAGCCCAGCCGCACGTCAGGTCCTTGGTGTTCCGGGACCAGCAGGTCAGATTGACCGGTTTCTCCGGAGGCACTGGGGGGAGCGAGCAGCGTGAGGCGAGATACGGGAGAAGGGGAGAGGACAGAAAGGAGCAAGAAGAGGAGGAAGGGGTGGGAAATGGAGGTCAGCGAGGGAACAAAACTGCAGCTAAGTCCTCCGGCGTGTAACTCACCCATCAGTGATGTTCCTCAGAAATTGCAGGTATTTTTCGATATTGGTTTGTGTGTGCATACGTGCATTTAATGTTAGGATCCCTGCCAACATTCCTCGTTTGTCAGAACACGGGGTCCTCGACACCAGTGTCCCACAGAGATTAAGACCCCAACTTCTTCTGTTTTTGTGTCTAAGAAAACACCTGCCCATAATCTAAAAAAAAGTCAGTAACTTCCTCTTCTTATTGTCTGAAGACAGATATGAATATCAGTTTATTATTATTATTCAGATATGTTTGAAAATGAGTGAATGTGTTCAACAACATGATCCTCTGCATGTGGAATTACATCACTTATAGGTTAAAATCTAATCCCAAAACATTTCTTACAGAGAAACAGGGTCTCAGAAGAAAATAAACTAAGTTTTTTTTACCTGATGATAAAGGGATTTCAGTCAGATTTTTTAGGACAAATTACACTGTAAAACATGCAGCAATTTCTGAACTCAAATTGTTTGCATAGTTTTACCTTTAAAGAAAAAAAACAATGAATTTCACCTGTGAAAACATGTTCAATTAACATGTACTGCACATGAGTTACATGTTGATGTACTCTCAAAGATAAATTATTCATTTGAACTCTTCAACATTACCATAAGCAATAATCATGAAGGTAAACACACATCAAGGATAGAAAATGTAATGCTGGCTTAGCTTAGTTTATCTTAATCTAGGTTAGCTTTGATTAGTTTATCTCATCGTATTGTTTCTGAAAGTATATTATCTTATTTTATCATCTTATTGAATCATATCATACTGTATCTTGTATCTTATCTTATTATCTTTTGTATCATATTGTATCTTCTTTTAAAAAATAATAACAATCTAATAAAACAGAGGTTTCCAATTTAGGCTAGTTTAGCATAATATTAAAAGTTTTTTTTGTTTTGTTTGTTAAAATAACAGCCTTTTGCCTTTTTAAATGTACTAAAAACACTAAACAGCAACAAGAATGGTATCAGTTTCGCATCTGTCCAACAGTAGRAAAGACAATTTGGTTACATTTTAAATAACGTCTTTTGGCTTTTTAGAAAGTAAAAACGCTAAAGTTAAAGGAAAATATATCACCTACTGTCTTGAAAGTGAAACTCAAGGATCTCAAGCTCAAAGTTAATGTTGGGAATGACTTTTAACTACTGCCACACCGAATTCAAGCTCAATATTTCAAAAAATACTAAAGTATAACATCAGTTTTTGTGTTTGCTAAGATCAGTTTCTCTAGTTGTGGAGCCATCTTTTCAACTTAGGAAACATCACAGAAGTGAATAAATGTTTTTTTTTTCTCCTCATGAGGAAAATAATGAAACACCAAGCAACTAGTTCAAACAAGTCCCCCCAAAAGTTGCATTTTTTTTCCCCCACATGAGTTACAAATGGGTTTTTTGAGTGTAAAAAGTCCGCCCCGCTCTTTGTAAGGGATAATGGACCACACAGGTGGGCTCTGAAGGCAGCAACACTAAACATGAAATACAGCTCGGGCTGTGTAGGGACACTTAAAAACCGGCCCACTGCTTCCTTCCCTTCACTTCTCATTTCCTTTAAATTCCACCCATCTCTACGGTGTGTTACTCCTTCTTCTGGTGCTCTGCTGCAACAAGCTTGAACTCTAGCAGCCATTGTTTGTTTTCTCAGCCATGGGTACATCAGACAGGTTAACAAGGTTGTAACTTACTCCCAACGTAGAGGCAGGAGCCAGCCAGGATGTGTCCTTTGTGGTTGTGGCAGACCAGGTTGTCCCCAGACGTTTGCCTGGAGGCGTTGAGCCCGACCAGCGTCAGGCTGAGGTTGCTCGGGCTCAGCACTCTGTAGAGGGAGCCGGGCACCTGCTGGCCATTCAGCGTCCAGAACAGCGAGCTGGCGTGGACGCCGAGGTCCGGGTGGACCCAGCAGCTGGCTGTCAGGTTGGAGCCCACGCGGAGCACAGGGTCTTGGGGGTAAACGATTGCTACATCTGAAAGAGAGAACAGATAATGAGTAAAAGGTTCTGAAGATGGTTCTCGTTACTGCTTCTACTCAACAGATCGATTGTGTTTAAACTCCTGTGAGGCCGAGTCAGAAAGAAAGGCTCAGGGTTTTGGGGTTCGGTTTTGTTCTACGCATCATTTACTTTAGCCATCTGCATGCATGCGCTATGTGTGATAATAAAACTACCAGTCAGTGGGTTTTTTAAATGTAGGTTGGATTACCCAAGCCCCATAGTGCTTGTTTAGACACAATGAGCGTATACTCTACTCTACATATGTTAGTGCTTCAATCCAAAGACTTGCAGTAGTATAAAAATAAACTTGTGTGATGGACTCAGCCAGCAGGACTCCTTTTTTGTAAAGATCAGCTGGACAGACCAACATGATTTGCTAATTCCTAACTTCTTTTTCTCATTTCATGTATTAAAATCTCTCATTTCGTTTGGTTTAAGGCATGCCTCGGCTCCCTTTAAAGGTGTCTAATGCCCCTTTTCCACTAGTACCACTTAGTGTAGTGTCGGAACGGTCGGTGTAGGTACGGGTCGGACCGGTTGGTTTTTCCACTGATATTCCAGTCCAGTTCCAATGGGTGTGTTTTGGGCGGTTGGTGGAGGTGATTTTTAGGTATTTTGAAAAAAAATGGGCAAAATGAGAGATGGAAACACATTTGATGAATAACTTTTGAAATTTTAAACATTTGCAAAAATTTAGCCAATCAGTGACGAACAGTGTTCTGACGTCGCATTTTGGTGTCAGCTGGGGCCGGTTGGAACCACAATGAAGTAGGTACTAAAAAAAGTGTCGGTTCCATGGATCTGGCCTAATGGAAATGGCTTGGAACCGTACCGAACCGTACCGACACTACACTAAGTGGCACTAGTGGAAAAGGGGCATAAGAAGTCCGCTTTGTSTCTGTAGTGATCATGTTCATTCAGCCTCACACTCAGTATTCACTTCTCAATTCCTCTCAACCTTCTCTTTGGCCATAATCACAAACATTCTCCCAGTACAAGTCCACTAAATTTCAAATTCAAGTCAGTGTTTCTCCTACATTACTGGCCTTTGTAGGGCGCTTGACGGACATGTTGGGTGTTGGTGGTAGCGTAATGCTACATCACTAATAGAGCTGGGTGGTATACAAAAATTTGTACCAAATCCAGTAAACTGTTTTACAGAGGAGCCTTTTCCCTGCAGTGCCGTTAAAAATGCATGCAAGGCAAGCTAGTGACGTTGGAGCAGTCTTCTCAATAACAGGCAGTGGATGGGGATTTTGCCACCTACATTAATTGACGAGAAATCGCTGGAATACATCCCTTTGGTGATATGCACAGATAGACTTCATGCGCAATGTAAACATGCCCGACAACGATCTTTGCTTAGCTTCTTTCATGGAGGTATATGAACTCTTTGGTTCCTTCACGACTGTACCTGCCTCCCCRCACTGTTCACATAAGCCCAAAKTACACGACTAATGTCGACAACCAGGGAAGGAAGAAATGATAGAAGAGGGAAAGCATGGGACAGAGGTACAGTAAAAGAACAAATAAATCAAGAAATAATTTTTGTGTTGCAGAAAGACAGTAGCTTCAGCTTTGTACATTTTAACATCTGCTGTACTTTGATGACCAGAAAAATAAAGTCAAATACCATGGTGCAGATAATTCTTAAAAATAGGGCAATATAAAATTTTGGTAATGCCGAGGGTGGGGTGTTGCGAGTAGCTAAACCCTATATTAATGCTAGGTCAAAGTCACTGGTAGAGGAAATGCTGTAACTTTAAGCAAACACTCTGTGACATTTTGGACYTCTCAAACCCTACATGAAACTCGTCTTGATTTTGTTGTAGGTGTCATGATCATATCTCGACTCTTTTTAAGTTTAGTTTCTGCAAATTCTAGAGTACTAGAGTCTTAAAAAAGTTTAACTAAATATGTGGTTTGTTTGTTGTCTACTCGCAAAATTTTACAAGATAATAAAATATTTGCCTGTTTTTTTTTTTTTTCAATTTTGAATCACCACCGCTGTGAGAAACTACCTTTAACTCTGGTAAAATTCTACTTTTTTTTCCAAACTTTGGTCATTCAAAGAGTTACCTACAACAGGTGAGACATTGACTGCTCATGACATTTCAATAGAACCCCACTTCAAAAGATCGGCTTTTGGATCCAATCAAAACACACTACAACTAAAGTGCAACCTAAAGGGTTCAGACGGTGGAGCGCCTTTGAAAAGCACCAACAGTAAAGTCTCTCAGCTTGTGTTGCATCATCCTTTTTATTTTATTTTTGTTCTGACCACTTGAAAGAACAAAGCAYGGAGGTTTAAGATTAAAAATAATAATAATAAAGACACCATAGCTGACGTAAATTCAGGTCTAACAATTCTAAAAGGCGAGACTTCCTGAACGGCAGAATGAAGCGAATTGTTTCTGTCTGAGTCTCCGGTTTATCCCACGGTTCAGTGACGTTTTGTGAAGCGGCTAAACTCAGAGACGGTGGCACTATTCATCATTTTATCATATCTGACAGCTGGAGGCCAAATAAAGGCGCTTTTGATCTCGCAGGTGGACAGAAACAATAATAAAAAGAGAAGGATTTGGGAGGAAAAAGATGAAAAGAAAAGATTTTATTTTCTAAAGACCAGGAGGAAAATAAAAGTTTCCCCTCGAAGTTGACGGCAGCCTGAAAATACCACTTTTTTTTTTTTTTTTACAGGGAGATGAGTGAGAGCATCAACACTTTGTCAGACCACTCCAATCCTACGCCCGGGGGCCACGTCTTTTTCTCAGCCACCTAACGCTGAAAGACACTGTGTGGTCTTTTTTTAATGTTCTTTTTATGACGGGGGGCCACCTTTTGAAGGCAACAACTCATGTGTAACTCCCCTAATATCACTAACTTCCTCCCAGGCCCTGACACAAACACTTTGCACAGATTTATGCACACACATGAACACAGACAAACTCAGAGGGCTTGTTTGTCTTTGTCACTGGATCCAGTGGACCAATAATCTGCTGCTCTGGATGAATAACAAGCAGGGTTTTATGTCTTCCAGGCGCGGAGGATGAGGACGGTGTGAAGCCCCCAAGCTCACTGCYAGGAAAACGGCTCATAAAAATTTGATTTTTTTTTTTTTTTTGGAGACGTTTGCTTTGATCAAGGCAGAGGATGAGCTCGACGTTCTCACGGTGGACGTCAGAGCTGTTAGAAAACGAAAAAAAGAAAAATACTTTTGCCTTTTGTTTCAAGACATTAATGGTCTCAAGCGGCTGATTTTCCAGTCTGCGGTGGACTTTAAAGCTCTTTTATATGGAGGAACATTTATGTCCCTCGCTCATCCATGCAGCTGAAATAAAGCGTGCATTTTTTTGTTTTTATTTTTTATTTTTTTGCAACAGATGAGCTTTTTGAAATGGGGGTGGGGAGGGGATCAGTGCAAATGAGCCGGGTGCAAGAAGTCACGCAACATTTAGTGACAATGAGCCATGCCATTGTCTGCGAAGGAGAAGCGGATGTTATGTCGACTGATGCGCTCGTCGAAAAAAAAAAACAAAAGGGTCAGATAGTAAAGTCCCTGCCGGAGAAATGTGTTATTTTAGAGGCCTTTTATGAGAACAAAAACCTTAAAAACAAGAAAAATAAACACAAGTCACAAACACTGACTATGTTACTTCACTGGCATCTGTAAATGTCAGTAAATGTCTGACGTGAACTTTGGTCTATTATCACAGGAATAAAACTAATCATTACAGTTTAAGCTTTGCTCTCTCTCTCTCTGCACAAAAGATCGGCCACTTTTAACGACTRCCCAACTTGATTTATTTGACTTTATTGCGCGTTTAAGCTTCCCAAACCCTCTCAAGCGAATGATGTCAGCGTGTTGTTGCGGTTCCGTGGAGCCCCATCCACGCTCACCATGTGTTAAAGGAATTATGGCCCGACTTGTTGAAATCCGGCCTCCTGGGATGATGAGCTCCTCTCTGCAGGGATACGAGCAGCTACAACTGCAGCAGGAAGGACATCAATAACCTGAGCTGTCAGCCAGACAAAGTGGCATTTGTACCTTTTTTTTTTCCCTTCTTAAATCTGTCCGCAAATCGAGCAGAACAGATGAAGGATGTAGGAACCGCAAGTCAACGAGACACTTAGAACCATCATTATTAATATATTGCATTAAAACCACATAGTGAATACAATTAATTAAAGCCCTATAACACTCATAATTAGATTTAAACCATGTTTTTAAGCTTTCATCAATTTAAACTTGTGTTTTTTTATTTATAAATGAATTATGTCKTTATTATATGTCCAAAATATTGACTTTTGGTGAGTTTTATATCAWATACACAACTATATTTGCTGGATATATGCAAATATTTACTGACTGATGCTGTTTTAAAATTGCAGGAACACTCATAAAAGCAAARACAATCTACCAGAACAGGACTGAGTCTTGGTCTTGTTTACACCAAGATCCCTGCAGTTTTTGGGGACTGAACAGATCTCTAACCCCCATTACACCAGCCAGACTTTTGTTGTTTGTTTGTTTGTTTGTTTTGCGCATCCAACTTACGTGTGGACAAGGACAGCACGCCAGGAGTGTGCAGGCTGAGCAGGACCAAGCAGAAGTCCAACACAACACGTCTCATTGTTTTCAGGTTTGTATTGTTTTGTTTTTTGTTGTTGTTGTCTGTTGTTTGTTTGTTTGTCTCCAGTTGTCTCTAAGCGGACTCCTCGTCCTCGTGCTGTTCTGCTGTCGCCCTCTCTCTGTCCTCCTCCTCGCGATCCAAGTTCACACACAGCAGAGACAGGAGAGAGAGAGAGAGAGAGGTGGGGGGGAGAAACAGGCTCCAAAATCCGGATTTTATTAAGAAGACAAGTCTCAGGAGGGAGAGAGGCGCACTGGAAAAAGTGTGACCCGAAAAGAAACGTCTCCCCCCCTGAGTAGTAAGAGCCTGGGAGGGTGAAAGCGGCGCGTCCCGTTCTGCAGTGTTTTTCCTTCTTAATGCTTCCTGCAGCTAAAATCATACACAAGTTCATACTTTTTTAAGCCCCTCCCCTCTCTCTCTCTCTGTCTCTCTTCCCACACAGTCACCAGTCATTCCCCTTCCCGTCCTTTCCCTGTTCCTTTTTTTCCCCCTCCTCCAGCAGGCCCCCCCGGCCCCCCTCTCCAGTGACGGCCCCGGAGTCATCCACTTTCACTGAATCACTGCGTTTCTCTCCAAACCTCAGGTCTTTGCACATTTTCACAACAGGAGGCTGTTGAGTCAGAGAGAAGACAAGAAGGCTGCCAAATCTCAGCTCTTCTTTTATTAACATTTGCTGTCAATWTTTGGCTCATTTCCCCCACATAAAAACAGTTTTGTTCATAATTTTCCAAGTTTAATGAATAATATTCGCACATTCAGCTCTAAAATTCTGGGGGGTTTCAGGGTCGTGACCAAATGGGGGCCAGGGGGAGTCCCAGGGTTTTGCTATGTGTGCATTTTCAATTTTACATACCAGTAGTTATTTCTAAACATAAAAACAAACATTGTGAGTTAAAATTTAATATATATTTAAAATTAAAAATAAAACTTCAAATCTAGTCTCCCTGAATGCAGATATATTTATTTATATATAATGAAAAATTAATCAATTAAACAAACAAACAAACAAACAATGGAACAGTTACCAGAGAACATGGGGACCAGTGAATATAAGTACTGGGGAACATTGATACCAGTGAATATAAGTACTGGGGAACATTGATACCAGTGAATATAAGTACTGGGGAACATGGGTACCAGTGAATATAAGTACTGGGGAACATAGGTACCAGTGAATATAAGTACTGGGGAACATAGGTACCAGTGAATATAAGTACTGGGGAACATTGATACCAGTGAATGTAAGTACTGGGGAACATTGATACCAGTGAATATAAGTACTGGGGAACATGGGTACCAGTGAATATAAGTACTGGGGAACATAGGTACCAGTGAATATAAGTACTGGGGAACATAGGTACCAGTGAATATAAGTACTGGGGAACATAGATACCAGTGAATATAAGTACTGGGGAACATAGATACCAGTGAATATAAGTACTGGGCAACATAGGTACCAGTGAATATAAGTACTGGGGAACATAGGTACCAGAGAACATGGGTACCAGTGAATATAAGTACTGGGGAACATATGTACCAGTGAATATAAGTACTGGGGAACATAGGTACCAGTGAATATAAGTACTGGGGAACATAGGTACCAGTGAATATAAGTACTGGGGAACATAGGTACCAGAGAACATGGGGACCAGTGAATATAAGTACCGGGGAACATAGGTACAGAGAACATGGGTACCAGTGAATATAAGTACTGGGGAACATAGATACCTGTGAATATAAGTACTGGGGAACATAGGTACCAGAGAACATGGGTACCAGTGAATATAAGTACCGGGGAACATAGGTACCAGTGAATAAAAGTATTGGGGAACATAAGTACCAGAGAACGTGGGTACCAGAGAATATAAGTATTAGGGAACATAGGTACCAGAGAACATGTGAATATAATTATTGGGGAATATAAGTARCAGAGAACATGGGTACCAGTGAATATAAATATTGGGGAACATAGGTATTAGAGAACATGGGTACCAATGAATATAAGTATTAGGGACCATAGGTACCAGAGAACATGGGTACCAGTAAATATAAATATTGGGGAACATAGGTATTAGAGAACATGGGTACCAATGAATATAATATCAGGGAACTTAGAGAACATGGGTACCAGTGAATATAAGTATTGGGGAACATAAGTACCAGAGAACATGGGTAC